TTACCCATCTGGGATGGTGAAGAAGCAAGACGACCAGGAGCTGTGATGTGGGCCCATTTATGTGGTGCAGGTTGGGTGTGGGGGCTGCTGTAACTAAGCCAAAATGGAGGGTCTCTGCCTCCCATTCTGGATTAGACCCAGTGATGTCAGCCAGATGTCAGCCAGAGGCAAACCTCGCCTGGGATGGTGGAGCCGCAAAGAGAAAGTGGCTCCAATAATTTTCTTCCCATGGGGGAAAGGTGCCACCAGAAATAAGTATAAGGGTGGTGTGACGTACTGTTTCAGCTTCACTGGGAGAGAAATAATGGATCACAGCCTCTCTAATACTTTATCTCTCACAGGTGTTCTAGATCTAAGCCTTGGAGGGCTGGGGTTGTGGCTGCTCTGCAATCATGAGATTTAGGTTCAGTATCTGGCACTGCAAGAAAAAAAGAAAGAGCAACTTAGTTAGAGTCCTCGATAAAACTGACTTTTAGATGCATTTAGCTGTATTTAAGTGTTTCAGAACATTCTGCCTAGCAAGATTTCATTCCCAATAAAAACCAGGTTGAACTCACAAGATATTCTTTGTATTCCCCAGATCAGGGAAGAAAGAATTTCAATATTATAGAAATTTGGTTTGTATGTTTACAGCACTGCAAAGGTAAATCATTTTATTCTGTATGGAATTAGTTCAGTTATTTATGTGTAAACTATGGCAAACTCTTAATCTTCTTCTGCCACATAAAACAAAGAAACACAAAATCCTTTTTTCTAGATTTAGAGATGAAATCTACATACATAGACTTATATATAAGCTTTCATAGAATCATATTATCGATATATAATATGGAAAATGAAAAAATATTAACGTGGGGGATTTGGGGGGTTATTTTTAGGTAATGACTGAAACAGGTTTTTTTAAATTCTATGGTATATAGTATGGTATGAGTTTATTGCCATTTGTAAAGGTACCATGGTAATCAATATTACTTCTAATTCCATTATTCTTTGCAGTGATTTAGAATTAATCATCTTTTCATATGTTTATTATTTGGTTACAATCACTTTTTTAAAATGTGTCTCACTATGGATCCAGATTGTTAGTACAGCAGATAGAATATTTGCCTTGCATGCAGCTGTCCATGGTTTGATTCTCGGTATTCAGTGTGGTCCCCAGTGCATCACTAGAAGTAATTTCTAAGCACAGAGCCATAAGTCAACCAAGAATCTTTGGGTATGCCCCCCCACGCAAAAAAAACGTGTCTGTCTAACCAAAATACATATGACAGTTTCCAATGGGGTTACTAAAAACCCATCCTCAAATAAGAATTTTATAAAATACAACAAAAGACAAAAAAGGGCATACATAACAATATTGTATGAGAGTTCTAGTCAACAAATATATATCCCATTTTTAATATTTTTCAATATGCCAAAAACCAGTAACAATGATGGGTCTCATTTCCTGACCCTGAAAGATTCTCAGATGTGGCACTTTCTAAAATCTCAGGGCTAGGACGAAGGAGACATTACTGGTGCCTGCTCAAGGAAATCGATGACAGAATGACAGTGATACAGTGATTTTTAATATAAATACCAGAGGAAGGTATTGACTCCATTAGAAATTTACCTAAGTTTCAGTCTTGAGATAGGAACAAAAGACAAAACTCAACATGTTTTCATGGAAAACTACATTTATAATTTATATTGCATGATTTAGTGAGGTAAATTAAACTGGATTTGGGAAGAGGAAGAACCAGTCACCCTTTCTGGGTTTAATATTGTGTTCTGCTTACAAAGATTTCTGAAACTCAAAGTAGAGTATGATCCTTATAAAGGATATAACAGAATGTGGTTATCCCATTTTACATTCCTTCAAGGCCCATATATGCTGTTAAGATGACAAGATTTTATCTTTCTCTATGGCTGAGCACTATTCATTGTATGTTTGAACCATATCTTTATCCACAGTCACTGATGAACACTCAAATTGTCTCCATACTTTGTATATTGGGAATAGTGCTGCAGAGAATATCAGTATGCACATATTGATGTAGTTTCAGATAGATACCTAGAAGCATAATTGCTGGACCAGAGTTAGTTCCTTTTATAAAATCAACATTCTTCTTTATTTTTTTTTTTTGCTTTTTGGGTCACACCTGGCAATGCACAGGGTTTACTCATGGCTCTGCACTCAGGAATTTATTCGTGGTAGTGCCCAGGGAACCATATGGGATGCTGGGAATTGAACCTGGATTGACCACATGCAAGGCAAATGCCCTACCCGCTGTGCTATCACTCCAGCCCTGTCAACGTTCTTATTTCATTAAGAAAAATAGTCTCCATCAGCTTTCTAAATATTCAAGATAACAGGGCTTCATAATTTCCTGATAATGGTAGAAAACAATGTGTTCATACACTTTTTGTCAGTTTAAAACACTGAAGAGATTGCAGTACACTTAGATCTTTGTAGGAACAAATGGGAACAAAAATGACTGATATGAGTATGGTAAAAAAAAATACATATATTCTTCCTGCCATATATTTTTATAACTTGTTAGGGAACAGAGAAATTTTATATACATAAACATATAATCTATCACAGTAATAGTCCAATAAATGTCATGGATTATTATCTCAGTCAAACTCCAGTCATCAGACACATTTAGTGACAAACTATAAGCATTCCATCAACTTGGTTAAAGTCTAAATCTGCTGCTGCTGCTTTTATGGGAAAGGAAGTTCTCTAAGCAGTGCTCAGAGCACTGGTGCCAGGTGTATTGCTTGGTCCCAACATTACTGGAGGCCACCAGGGCTACACCTGGGGGCACTATGTGATTCTAAGGATGAAACTCAAAGCCTAGAACATGCAAAGCCTGTGCTCCATTCATTTCCAGCGCAAGTTGTTTCTTTTTCACCCTAGATCAGGTTCATACAGTCAGGAGGGCATAGAAAGAGTTTGCATAGATCACTTTATTTCTTCAACAAGCATTTGTCCTCAGTACACCCCTTCTCTAATAGAATTATGGGCCTCACCTGTGACTGCTATCTCATTAAACCCCATCTGGTTATTTGATTCCTGGCTGTGTGCCGAGACAAGAACTTTCTCTGTTAAACCTATGTTCTTTACACCCAGGACCTTTCCAGGCAGAAGCCTAGTCTTAGCTTACCAGGGCCTCTAAAAGCAGAGGGGTAATTTTTAATATCACCTCAGAAATTGATTCCATTTCAGTTGCTTTATGAACACCTTTAGTACTTTTTCCACTCTAGAGAAGTGTGTGTTCTCTCTTCTCTCTCTCTCTCTTTCTCTCTTTCTCTTTCTCTCTCTCCCTCCCTTCCTCCCTCCCTCCCTCCCTTCTCACATCTCTCTAAATTTCCTTCAATAAAAACTTTATTGCTTGCCTGAAAATAAGTGATTTTTTAAATCCTTTGAATTTACTTATTAAATTATGCTGGCACTTAAGATTTAAAATGTAAGATATTTTTCATCTTAGTTAACTCTGAATTTATCATTTTTCATTCACCCCAGAGATCTGACTCTTCTTTAATGGTGGTAGAGCTTGGAACAAACGTAGGGCCCTACACACACTATCACTGAGCCATATCTCCAGACCTCAAACTTCTGACTTGATTTTCCCAGTTTGTGATGCATGCTGATTTCACTCTTACTAAAGTACTGTAACTTTAAGTTGGACATCAAAAAGATCATGTCTCCAGCTTTTTCTAATTTTCTGGGTGTTGCCAAAATTCAAAACAAAACAAACAGAAGAAAATACTGCGTCTCTCCAATATTCAAATAAAACCAAACATTTGTTTCATCAGATAGATTCATCTCATTTGAAGACTTGTGCTAGGTTCAGGGGAATACTCTGAAATAAAGTCACATCTACCTCTTTGTTCTCTCCTTTCTTGGAAAGGAGAAATAATAATCACCTTTTGTTGAGAGCTCTCCTGATGCATATTAAAGCTATTTGCTTTGGTTCTCTCTTCAAGTTGAGAACAGCTCATCACTATTTTCTATTTAATAATCCTCAAGGATTTGACAGTAGCTAAGAATATTCCCAAGCTTCCCTTCAGTCCTTTCCTTTAAACTTGTATTATTGGTTTAGCTTTTCAACAGTTCAATATCTTTCTCCTGACTAATCACTTAGCAGTAAGTCTTCCCAACTATCTTCCATAGTTGTTTTCAAATAAGAATGTGACTAAAGGATTAATGAGAAGGGCTTTTTTTCTCCCTCTCTGAGAAGAAAACAAATGGGTTAAAATTTTATGTTTCAAACTTTTAATGAGTAGCATGAAAATGTATTTAAGAGCAAATGCTGTGGTGCTCTATATTTTTTATATTCAGATCTGCTCCTATACTGAGTAATCTTGGGCAAATACTGAATTCTCTATGCCTCATTTTCTCACCTGTAAAATGAAGGTGATTTTGCTATTCCTCCTGGATTATTAGGATGAAATCAATGTAGCATTATGGGCTTCCTGTAGCTGAGAGGTGTATTGAAACATGGGACTCTCTTGAGCAAACTAAAATTGTTGGCCATTCAAGCCTTAAAAATACTAGATATTATTGGGACTAGAAAGGAAGTAGCCATCATGATAATATGAATTTTATCAGATCAAGAGATTTTAAAAAAACTTTAGGTACCATGATTTATAACACCCAGTTTCATGTATCTAATGTTTCAACACCATAGCCTCACCCTGTCAACACCCCATCACTGTCCACGCAACATGGTAACTTCAGTTCTGTAGACCAGTTCTTAGATTCCGTTGCCTTATAAAGGAATTTTTTATATCATTCTCTGTTCCCTTGAATTTTGACTCATACAATCCCTGATGAGAATCTGAAAGGTGAAATTGCATTGAACTAATTAATTCTAAATGTCAGGCATTTGGGCTTCATTTTCTTTATATATTTTTAGCTATTATTATAAACTGCCAAATATATTTCTTCTACTTCATTTTATGATGTTATGCTTTCCTTTGATCATTTTTGCCTGTTCTTTTAATTTTAGGTCAACTCAAATCAAAACATATTCTTGGGATAATGCCCAGGTTATCCTGGTTGGGAACAAGTGTGACATGGAAGATGAGCGAGTCATCTCAACTGAAAGAGGCCAACATTTAGGGGAACAGCTTGGTAAGTAACAGATTAAATGAGAGTGTGGTAATTATTTGTAACAATGTGCAAAATGCCAGAGAATTGCTATGGTGGATTCAGTAGAAATAATGTCAACCATGTAAAATCTTATCACGGGAAGGTTGTGTGTTCACGGGCTCACTGGATGACACTGTCTCACTGCCTGCATTCGGTGCTCTTAAGCCGCTGTGTGTGGCCTGGATCAGAACGGCTGTTGGCCAAGGGCAGACGGAAGAAGAAACGAGGGCCAGGGCGGTCTATAATAATAGTAGTTTATTCCAAATCTCTTCACTCCTGTCTTTCTCTGCCTCCTTCTCTCCTGAGCCCCAATCTTGGAACCTCTCTCCTTCTGGCTCTGACTCTGGATCTCTGGATCCCGATGTCTCTCCATTTTCACTCTCCTCTCCGAGCTTACATCTTAGTTTATATAGCAGTCACATAAGGCGGTGACATAAAGGTGGGTTGAATACTGATGAATCAACAAAGAGAGGTAAGACCACTCCTCCAGGAGATTAACTCAAGGATAAAATCTCATCTACAGAGATTACTTCAGATTACTAGGAGATCCGCTCAAGGGTGGGATCCCAACAAGGGTGTGTTCTTCCCTCAGTTAGTAATCTACTTAAATAGTTGTAATAAATCTACTTCTAATATTTCTAGCAATGTCATTCTGTATGAGCACAGTAAGAGATATAAATTTAGTTTGGTTCTTCCTGAGAACATCTCGCTATACATTTTGCAGTCCTTAGGCCAGGTTAATCTTCCTAGCTCCAGCAGGGTCCTGGTCTCGTCGTCACTTACTTTTGGATCATGACAGCATTTGTCCATGATCATGCCCTCAACTTATAGTTGAGTATCGTGGCTCTTTGGCCTGGCCCATTTCGATGCCAGGGTAGCTCACTGCTTGCCCTGGGTCCATTCAGTCCCTCGTCGGGACCCTACTTTTAGGGTGCTAGGAACTAGGGGCAACTGAGTCAAGAAATCAGATGCCCAGGAGTAAATATTATTCGGAGTCAATCAACTCCCAAGTTACAAAGCATAATATTAACTGTCTTCCTGTGTCCACAGAGAAAGGACATTGCTTACAATACAAGTTCAGTGTCCTGGGATGGGTGTGACCAGATAAACCTAAGCTACCTGAGGAAGGACAAAACAGTGTTATCCTACAAACCAGACTCCTCCATAAGCAGTGAATAGTTTTTTCTCTCATATTGTGCGGCATCATTAGAGTTCAAGCACAAGCACCAGAGTGAAATGGCAAAAAGAGTGATCTAGAACAAAACATCGATATTTGTGTTCCATGAAAAACACAGAATAGGCCTTGTCTTTCTATTTATTTGAGATGCTTTTTCTCCATTCACAAGATTGTGTATTGAATATGCTCTATATTTTTTGTCATTGTCCTCAAGTTTCCATTAAAAGAGGGTAGTAGCACAGAATAGATTGCTAACAGAATCTGGTTCTAGGGACACCACTGGTGAGCTGTATGACTGTTACAAACTTTTTGAAACTCAATTCCCTCATCTTTGAAGAATTAGTATCATAACCCATGCCAACTTCAGAACATCCTCGTAAAGATCAACTGAAATAAGAAGCATAAAAGAGCTGTAGAATGGCAAAGCCATTTCAAACAGAAAATACTGTATCTAAAGAGAAATGCTTCAGCAGGTATATATAATAGGTTGAATTTTAGTGCAAAGGAGAGGGAATCGTGATTGATTTATTGAAGGCATGTGTACTGATCCCCTGCTATATGCCCTGTGCACTCTCTGATAACACAGAGGACACAAAAAAAAGGAGAAGGCGCTGTCCCTGGACTCATGCTGCTCTCTGTAGGTGGGGAGACTAGAGAAATATACAAGGAAGCAGAAATGGAAAGACAAAATCCAAAACCAGATAATGAAGTGAGGCAGCTGGGAGGCAGATGCCAAGAGGAAAACAAATAGGCAAGGGAGGCAAAAACAGAGAGAGAGGTACTAGTCGGAAAGAGTGGGAGTGGAAAGGGCGGGAGGCTGAGTTATGCAGGCAAGACTCATGCAGAGAAAATGTGAGAATGAAGAGAATAACTAGGAAGAGGTGAGTGATGAGAAATATTAGCTGATATGTGGGTTAAATGGCAAGATGGCATTTCTTTAAAGGAGAAGAGAATGTGAAAAACACAGAGGAGAGTCAGTCTCATGCATAAAAGAACATAGGGAAATAGTATACTTCAAGGAGCACAGGAGGCATGAGAGTAAAATGTGTGACCTAACTCTAATACTGTGGGGGTGGAGAGTGGGTTGGAAGTAAATTTCTAACCTGGAGAAAAAATGGGCTAGAGAGATAGCACAGCGGTAGGGCGTTTGCCTTGCACGTGGCCAACCTGGCCGACCCGAGTTCGATTCCTCCGCCCCTCTCGGAGAGCCCAGCAAGCTACCGAGAGCATCTCACCCACACGGCAGAGCCTGGCAAGCTCCCCATGACGTATTCGATATGCCAAACACAGTAACAAACTTCTTAGAACTGCCTGTGAGAAAGCCACCCAGCTCTCTGGACTCTGTGACTGCTTTGAGCACATTTTGTTCCTAGATCCTCTCTCCATTTTTATTAGTCTTCTGGTTCTAATTTGAAAAACTTGGCAATCTTCCCTTCATCTCTTAGCACCTCAAGAATGTAGGAATAAGCAAGAGGAGATCCCCAAGAGCAAAGGAAAAAAAGAAACCTGGGGTGGTATCGGCAAGGTGGCTTCTGAGACCATCTCTTCCCTCCTGACATTTTCTTCTGTGGTCAGTTATGTACACCCATGGTGGGAGGGTAAGAAGGGCAGGGGGATGACCTACACAGATCCAAATTATCTTCATTTATGCATCTGAAAGGGGCTGGAGCAATAGCCCAGCAGGTAGGGCATTTGCCTTGCACGCAGCCAACATGGCCGACCCAAGTTCAATTCCTCCGCCCCTCTCAGAGAGCCAGGCAAGCTACTGAGAGTATCTCGCCCACATGGCAGAGCCTGGCAAGCTACCCATGATGTATTCGATATGCCAAACACAATAACAACAAAATCTCCAATGGAGATGTTGCTGGGCCCGCTCGAGCAAATCGATGAACAACAGGAGGACAGTGACAGACAGTGACAGATGCATCTGAAATGATTTATGCTCAAAGAAAATTAGAGGGAAGTCATGAATTGCTATTCTCTTCATCAGAGGAGACATGGGTAACAGGCTCAATCTTTGACCACTCCAGTAAAATGTGAAAAGATCAGGTCATGCACCGGGATATAAAGAATGATGGGAACATATCCAGATTTTCCTTATAACTTCAAATTTGTGAGGCATATGTGTTTTCAGCTCCTGTGCAAGTTCTACCAATGGTTACTAATTGATTTTTTGCTCCTTTCAGTAAAACCCAGCAGTTGTCATAGAAACCAACACTTGTGCATTCTTCAAGAGTCATTTACCTCTTTTAATGTAGTTTGTTCTTCTCTTGACTACACACGCTTCTACAAATGATCTTAAGAGATCATTTATGGGAGAGAAGCTAAGGATCTCACAATTTAAATGGAAAGAGTCTGGAGGTCTTTGTCTTAGCATTTTTCTCTTTACGGACAATGGAACTTTACACTCCATTGTCCAGAATTTTACTGTGCACACCAGACACTGTTTGGTTTCTTCTATTTTGTTGGCAGTGGCACACCAGGCTATGTTCAGAATTTACTCCTGGCTCTGCACTCAGAAATTATGCCAGTAAGTTCTCAGGGACCATATGGGATCCCGGGGATTGAACCCTGGTTAACCACAAAGCAAGTGCCCTCCCCAATACACTATCTCTGCATCCTCAGTACAATTTTTAGTTTTGTTTTCATAAAAAATATTACCTATTGATTTGAGATCCAAAATAACTATTTTATCAATCACGATCATGATCACAACCATCCTGTTGTTCGTCGATTGCCTCAAGCAGGCCCCAGTAATGTCTCCTTCGTCCTAGCCCTGAGATTTTTCAAAAAGTGCCATACTCAAGGCTCTTTCAGGGTTAGGAGAATGAGATCCATCATTGTTACTGGTATTTGGCATATTTGGTACACCACAGGGAGTTTGCCAGAGTCTGTTGTGTGGGCAGGTTACATTCGGTAGCCTGCCAGTTTGTCCAAAGTAGGAATGAGGTAATAAGATGTCGTGTGGCTGCAAATGCGGCCTCGCACTTCCAGGAGCTGGGTTTTATAGTCTCTGGGTCTTGGCCGTTGATGGGATTACATGGTGCCAGGGGGCCAGTTGGTGGGTATGACCCCTGCCTACTGGAATATGGAGGATCTGGGTGGAGGATGCTCAGCCCTGATCCGAGCAGGCTTGGAGATCTCAGTCCCGGGACCCACATGCCTTTGTTCCTCTGCCAGTACCTTCATGCGTGTGGAGAGTGGTCTCAGCATGGTGGTGGCTGGTTCTGGAGGTCTTCGGCTGTGGGAGCCCTGGTCAGGGTGGGGAGGGAAACTCAACCTGCTCCCTCCAAGGGACCCCGGCGAGGACAGCCAGGCATGGGGCCAGGAGACTCTGAGTATCCTCCACCCAGATCCTTCATATTCCAGTAGGCAGGGTTCACACCCACCCACTGGCCCCCTGGCGCGGTGTAATCCTATCAACGGCCAAGACCCAGAGACTATAAACCCAGCTCCCGGAAGAGAACAGCACAGAGTCTCCTGCCCCTGCGCCTGGCTGTCCTCGCTGGGGCCCCTTGGAGGGGAGCGGGTTGAGTCTCCCTCCTGCCCTGACCAGGGCTCAGACAGCCGAAGACCTCCAGATCCAGCCACCACCATGCTGAGACCACTCTCCACACGCATGAAGGTACCGGCAGAGGAACAAAGGCATGCGGGTCCCGGGGCTGAGATCTCCAAGCCTGCTCGGATCGGGGCTGAGCGTCCTCCACCCAGATCCTCCAAATTCCAGTAGGCAGGGGTCACACCCACCAACTGGCCCCCTGGCGCCATGTAATCCCATCAAGAGCCAAGACCCAGAAACTATTTT